AATAGGTTTTCCTTTAGAATTCTTAATGGTACACGGAAATGAGCGCCCCCTCAATTAATACGGTGGCTTTGGGTTAAATCCCAGGAAGATTAAGGCTAGGATAAAGTCTAAAATTATTTTTACTTTTAATTTCGGGGTAATTGATTGGTGCATGACCGCCGTTTGGTCCGCTTTCATGGTCAACCCAAAGTTTACGGAACCGGGGACGAATAGGTCCATGTTTCTATGCATGCCTGCTTCTGTCGTATCATTCAGAGCACAGCCGTCCGCAAGGAAGTGTTCGTGGACAGTGACTGACTGTGTCCGCCCAAATGCTTGCATGCATCAGATATTGAGAAGCTGGTCGTCGGTCATCTAGACGATAATTATCCCATTTTACTCCTCACGGTGGACGTTCATCAGCATGGCAGAGGAGAATGGGAACGAGTACACAGCCCCGCTCAACTCCAGTCAAATTTCAGCAGGATTCTCCAGATCCAATCAAGATTAATTGCATCGATGGCGTCTGCCAGATTCATAGGATATTAAGAAGCTCACAACAGACACTGACCGGGTTTTCATAACACAATTAAAATAGGAAGGTGACACGGATGCCGGTGGGCGCAGCACATGGGAATGCCACCAAATCCTTAAGTGATGGAATTTGTTACGGGTGCGAACCCTCGATGACGCCTGCCGGGCTCCGATCAAGTCCCGTGCTGGTTCAGCTCATCCACCGACACGAATCTACGGTGTGCGGCACGGCACTGCTGTCTAATGACTACCTATTTGCTGGTAAACAGTCCCGTTGTGTTTGTCATTCCCCTGGCATATTGATGGTGCCTTCAATTACGCTGGTCAGATTGAAGTTGCGAGCAGATATGTCTAACTTAGGACTGTGGTGTGGCTATACATGTTTTCGGGTTTATCTGCGCGATTTGATGGTTTTTATGACCGATGACTATCGCAATTCCAGAGTGTGCCATCCAAGTTTGTCTCGCTTAGTTGCTAATACATACCGTGCTGTCCTGATGCTTTACACCGATATGAAGGTGGCTAAATAACCCTGGGGTTTCCGAAAACGCAGATTCACGTAGTTTGTGTTAAACAGGCCTCCGGAGATCACCTATATTTTGCGAACACCCAGCACCACTTATCTTCACTCAACTGACGACTGCTGCGCCCTGTCTCTCAGATCTAACGGATACAATTTTCGAAACGATAATAAGGAGTAAATCTTCTAGAACAACCCTCTTCACACTATGTTCGAAAGGTAACACGCTGATCTGGGCCGGAATCCATCAACCACTCCGCAATAATGGCAGCATATTCACAAACTGCCAGCAGATAGTCAGTGGGAGTGAGGGATCCACTTATGCTGTCAGTACAGTGATTCATACACTAAACGTGTCATTCAAACCCGAGGTCTCGGAAACCACAAATTACTACTCGCTTCTATCAGGCCTTCTGAACATACACCTCCATTTTGCGATCCCTTCACACGACACATCTTCAGTCAGCTGCCGACTGCTTCGCCATCTCTCTCAGTCCGACTGAATGTGCTTTTTGGAACGATGATGAGGATACGACCTCTGCCTCATCTCCCTATTCATGCATTCCCTTATCTTCAATGTTGTCTGATGACTAAATTTAGGATTATTCCCCTCCCACTAATTTGCTTTCTGACTCTACTGCTCAACTTCCGGTGTCACCTGGTGAACTTGCGCTCGGGCATGTATGGAGGCTAGACTAGGCTAGATCCGCCTGTTGACGTCAGTCTCAGGGCTCAATAAATTGCGCCAAATAATTATCTTACGATGACGACACGCAGTGCTTCATGATGTCAGTGGCAACGCAACTGCATCAACACCTACTGCAATGGCATAAGCGTGCGACTTTGCTGACTGCTTACCTGCTGGATGATATCATACATTGCCTCGGTGGAAACTAAAGGCATGCAATTTGCAAACCGAAATTACACATGAATACTTGTGTTTTCCATTCGAGTATGCAGGTTTGGTAGTCGTAGCAGCTCCACTTTAATACTCGACAATCACCTTCGTTTAAGTAAAATCTCTGCCGTAACGCACTTCACGAGGAAGCAAATTTGAGGAGGAGGTTTGGATGCGTTGTTACGAGGAGTTATGCGATAGCCGAATGTACAGCGAAACTTCATGGGACAGAATATGGACATTGTTCACATGGAGCAAAAGCTGAGCTTGAGTTGCTTCTCTCAAGGCTACAGGGACTGCAGACGCGATGCAACGTGACTGTGTAGATGGCTGAGCCGGAACTGACAGCTTGACCGTCAATTTCGACGATTTCTACCGTTCGGCTCCACAGCAAGGTGAGAACATATACGGCGACGTGTGGGTGAATCAGTTTATAGCACAGTGGGTAAGAGCCGATGCGGATATTGGAATATCGGAATTTAAGGGATACGGAGGAGGAGGAGGAGGAGGAGGAGGAGAAGGAAGAGGAGCAGGAGGAGCAGGAGGAGGACGAGGAGCAGGAGGAGCAGGAGGAATGGGAATGCGGACAGATTAACGGGAAGTGGAGACACACAATACCAGATTCCCCCATTCGGTTTAACACACAAATCGATGCGGTTACCGGGGTGTGGTCGCTAGGGGGAGCCTAAATTCAATGTAATACAACCCTTCTCGTCAATGGTTATCTTGGTACTTGTATACACTCCCAGCCTCTCTGTCAGCTTACCACCGTCTTTATGGTGCTTGCAATTGCTCTGGTCAAATGGCAATTGCGCGTATAAAAGCCTACTTTAGGATTGTGATGTAGCAATACGTGTTTCGGAATGATATGCGCAAGCTGATGGTGTACATGTCCGGTGACTATCTGAACTCTAGAGTTAACCATTCAAGTTTGTCTCTCTTGCTTAGTAATGCATAGCAAATAATTACAAGGCTGACTCGAAGGAAAATGTTTTTTTTGATGACTGGCCCGAACCTGACAATCAGACCGTCGAATTCGACAATGTCTACCGTTCGGCTCCACGGCAAGGTGAGAGCAGGGACGGCGACGTGTGGGTGATAATATCAAACTGTCTGGTGGAGAATATAATGCAAAAATTGTGAGCTATATATCTTCCAGATTATTAACTCGCCCTTGCCAGGCCCTCTAAGTAAACCTCTATTTTGTGAACCGCCAACATGACATATATTCAGTCAACTGCCAACTGTTTCGCCATGTCTCTCTGATCTAACAGATGCACTTTTCGGAACGTTAATGAGGATGAGTCCTCTTCCTTATCTCCGCACT